GAGGTAATCACAAGCTGATGCGTCACTAAGTGAGGTAATCACAAGCTGATGCGTCACTAAGTGAGGTAATCACAAGCTGATGCGTCACTAAGTGAGGTAATCACAAGCTGATGCGTCACTAAGTGAGGTAATCACAAGCTGATGCGTCACTAAGTGAGGTAATCACAAGCTGATGCGTCACTAAGTGAGGTAATCACAAGCTGATGCGTCACTAAGTGAGGTAATCACAAGCTGATGCGTCACTGAGTGAGGTAATCACAAGCTGATGCGTCACTGAGTGAGGTAATCACAAGCTGATGCGTCACTGAGTGAGGTAATCACAAGCTGATGCGTCACTTAGTGAGGTTATCACAAGCTGATGCGTCACTAAGTGAGTATATCACAAGCTGATGCGTCACTTAGTGAGGTAATCACAAGCTGATGCGTCACTAAGTGAGGTAATCACGAGCTGATGCGTCACTGAGTGTGGTAATCACAAGCTGATGCGTCACTAAGTGAGTATATCACAAGCTGATGCGTCACTAAGTGAGGTAATCACAAGCTGATGCGTCACTAAGTGAGGTAATCACAAGCTGATGCGTCACTGAGTGAGGTAATCACAAGCTGATGCGTCACTGAGTGAGGTAATCACAAGCTGATGCGTCACTTAGTGAGGTTTTCACAAGCTGATGCGTCACTAAGTGAGTATATCACAAGCTGATGCGTCACTTAGTGAGGTAATCACAAGCTGATGCGTCACTGAGTGTGGTAATCACAAGCTGATGCGTCACTAAGTGAGGTAAACACAGGCTGATGCGTCACTTAGTGAAGTAAACACGAGCTGAGGCGTCACTAAGTGAGGTAACCACAAGCTGATGCGTCATTAAGTGAGGTAATCACAAGCTGATGCGTCACTAGGTGAGGTAATCACAAGCTGATGCGACACTGAGTGAGGTAATCACAAGCTGATACGTCACTAAGTGAGTATATGACAAGCTGATGCGTCACTTAGTGAGGTAATCACAAGCTGATGCGTCACTGAGTGTGGTAATCACAAGCTGATGCGTCACTAAGTGAGGTAAACACAGGCTGATGCGTCACTTAGTGAAGTAAACACGAGCTGAGGCGTCACTAAGTGAGGTAACCACAAGCTGATGCGTTACTAAGTGAGGTAATGACAAACTGATGCGTCACTTAGTGAGGTAATCACAAGCTGATGCGTCATTAAGTGAGGTAATCACAAGCTGATGCGTCACTAAGTGAGGTAATCACAAGCTGATGCGTCACTGAGTGACAAGCACATCATTCCGCCCGGTAAAATTTTACTGACAACGGGTGCATCAGTTGTTGCCATTACCCTTAAATGCAGAACGTTAAGCAGGGAATAATAACTACCATTTTTAAGGACTTTGGTATGTCCCGATCTGGGGACAGAACCCCTAGCCTTTATCACAAGGGCGAACGCTCAACATCAAAGCCAGAAGTGAGGTGCTGCCAAGCAAGGCGTTAGGAAATAAAAGGTAGATAGATAAAAAAAATCTGGAAAACATCGCCATACTAAAGTGACCTCTGCTGTGGCGAGGATCAACTCCTATCAGTCAATCAATCTATACCGTTTGGAACATTACTCAGAGGATCGGGACCAAATATGTTCAATTACACGAGAGAATAGATTTTATCAAACACATAGATATTAGTAAATGTCCTTTAGCACGCTCACATTAAAATGATTCCGTTAAATAAACATATTCAGATAACAATCGAATCCAAATAAAGAAAACAATTTAACACTCTTTGATGAGTTGAGTGTACTTCCGGTAGACAAAAAACCACGTGACATGTACAAACCAATGACGCCTCGCGTGCTGTTCGCGTTTGTGGACACATACATGTACCATAACCACAGTCCACGTGCGCAGTAATCATTCATTCGACTACAGCGTCCCCTACGGAATAGATGCAGTTATTGAACACTGTCCCCATTTGTTGATGAATGCCAGCGTTTATATGCTACGGCGGGGACCTGTCCCATAGCGACTCGGCCGAGTGTGATACCACTGTCAGCCTTCGAAAGTCCCCTTCGATCATCTATACGTCAAATATATTCCTAAATCCCCTAATGTCTTCCTGTGATATGTTCACCATTATTTATTGTATACTCGTGCGATTCTGGTGTTATTTAAAAGTGAACGTCCATTTTAATGCAAAATCAGAAATCCATATATACTCCTGGCGTTATTTGAAAGTGAACATTAATATTAATATATATCATTCGATTGTCTTTTCAAGTTTATCCAACATATATTGTATCCAATGAGGTCTTCAATCCTTTCATATTTCTAAAGAAAGAACCTGTTGTTGTGAATGAGCTCGAGTTGTTAAAAAGATTAAACCTTTGCTTTCGGGAAAAATCAACAGCAACAAATCTAGTACGCTAGAATTCGTCTCCATAAATTCGAGCTAAAGTTTGGGAAACTAAGGCCATTGGGATGAATCGTTAACTTCATCACGTTCTGGAAGACAAAACAGAGCTACAGTCTACTAGTTATTTAGATTTTATTAGCCTTAGATGCCGAATCAATGCCATTTTTTCGTTCCTGAGAATCAGCCATTTCTTTTTTAAACAAATTAGATACACTGTCACTACACATTCCAGTCTGTCGATGTAGACGCTTTTTAGTGCCGTAGTCTATACATGTTGATTAAGACTGTTCCTGTTTTTAGATAATGACGTATCAGAAAATACGTACAAGATTGTATTCGTACATCTAGTAACTGGATTTATTGTTTAAACTGATTCGAAATCCTAACGATTTTGTTTTTCCGGGCAAATTAAGACACGAAACCCCATTACGCAATGCATATTAACTTTCAAAATCCTCAACCAAGCGGTAGATACAGTTTCTGGTTTGTATCATTTTAAAATTTACGGTAATCATGAATAAATACGCGTACGTCAAGAAGTGGGAGCATTTCTTAAAATATTTACGGTTTATTGAAAATATTTTTGAAGACAAAAGTTACCAAGGAATTAACCAAAATTAGCAATTTGTTTAAAATGTTTTGGTTAATTGGTTTGGTTTTATTTTGTTTAACGTCCTATTAACAGCTAAGGTCATTAAAGGACGTGCCTCCATGTGTGTTATGTATGGGTGAATGTGTGTATGTGTTCTGGAGTCAGGGTATGTTGGTGTACTTGCCTTCTTGTAATAGCGCGGATCTGATGCCGACTTTATAGTGCTATCGCACTAAAATCCCGTGCCGAAGGCACCCAGCACAGCACTCGGCCCGGTCACATTATACTGACAACAGATGAACCATATTTAGTAGTGGTTTTCTGTCCCAAATACTGTGTACTGCAGTTTGTTCAAGACTTGCACAGCTTTATCAGCCAATCAGTAAGTCTTCATACGTTTGTTGTTCATATCTAATATAATTTCCGGTTCAAATATGTTTCTCCGCGGATATTAAAATTGGAATTGATAACAGGTTTTAAATTGATTGAAATCTACAGGTATCTAATATGAAAAAAACAACATACATTTCTTTATTGATAATTTGATACTTTTGGGCCGATTAACGTGGGGGGTACATGTAAATAGGAGGGGGACATCCCGTCACGAGTTGCACGTTTTTCTTGTAACCTTCCGGGTAGTCAACAGTCTTATATATATACAATCAAACCAGCACAATAGACTATTTGTGGCTTTTGATCAGAGACGTATCCACGTTAAAAAGATTAGAGAAAAGTCACTGGGGTTTATCTTTGATTTAAAGTATCACAGGAAAATTCTATTTCGAGGAATCGTGATCCTTTTTTATATGAAACTGTTTTTTATTCCTTAAATTACAACTTTTTTATATCTTTTTTGACTGCGAAGTTAAAAATAAAAATTTCGACTTCTGAAAATCTTTGACGCTACTTCGCTTCAGTTAATTATTAAATTTGATACACTCTATTTATGATTTAAAGGTTTAAAATATATTTCTCATAGATTTACCTAAGATACGTAACCTTTCTATTTAAAGACCTTTATAAACTACAATAAATCAGCTGGCACTGCGTGTTTGAATTGATTTGTAAATTTACGGAAATGTCAAGCGTTTCTGGGACTCTGAGATGTGGTAGTTATTTAGCGGAGTTTACTGCTATTTGGTCGTTTTCCCTGTAGGTACACTCAGTCCGGAACTGATATGTGATGTCACATGCCGATATCGATTTCTGTAAAAGAAACCGATATCAAGGAGGATGGTAAAACAGATTTGTACTCAGCATTCTCCTGTCAACCCGGCAGCAAAATGGCAAATATTTTACTTGTTTGTCAAGTCGAATTCTAAGGATGTTCTCATGTCGATGAAGTACTGTGTCATCTTTATTCCCCAAAATCCCACGAGAACGAATTTCGTTGTTAATGACACCGCTACAAAGCTCTCTGGAGCTCATAAAGAACTCACCTCGCTTTGCCAACATTATGATGCAACGGAGAAATCCATTTTCGTATATTGTTTTTTCCCCTCTTTTGTGTCCCCAGTACTGTCCAGAAAAGACAAGGTCTACGAGAGCAGCTGGTCGTACTGGTAACACAGCATTACAAAGTATGTATTTAGTTGGCAATAAGGTATTGATAGGTTGGCGGATTGTCGAAGGCCCCGCCGGACACGCCAATTGGTTAACTGGATGTCGGCATGCCGAGACTGCGAGGCCTGACCCGGGGGAAGAAGGGCGACACCTCGACATGATCAACTCCGCCGGAATCAGTCTAACAACTACTACAGATCAATTATTCGCCCACCTTCTAGCAGGGTGTTACTGTCTAAGGAATGCCTTGGGACCATCTCAAATAGAAAGCCAAGCACTGGCACTACCCTTGGTTATAAGGCTTTCCGGAGGCATTCCCCTTCAATTACATGCAAATATAATACAAAATGGTCTACTCGTTTCTGTGGTTTACGACCCTGACAACCATCTTTTAATTTGTTTCATTGATTATTTTGTCAAAGTAAAAAAGAAAGTACGTTACCTTCTAGTGCATCACAATCCCTGAACAGATTGCCGTATTGTTGGAAAAGTATGACGACTCCGGCTTTCATGTGTTCGTGAATGTCTCCTGACCTTCGGGAGTCCTTGTACGGGACCGTTCTCGACCCCGAAACATTCGTCCGGTCCTGAGGATGCTTGTGGAAAAAGTTCATGGCAAATATCGGGGGTTCGTATAGAGTCTCGTTGTGATAGCGGGCCATGGTGTTGTATACAAACTTTCGTTTGTACCATAACTCCATGTACGAGTTGGTGTCTGCAGGGCGCATCAACTCCGTGTTACTTGCTCCATATAAACTGTTATTTAACATTGTCGAGTTAAATCCACGATATTCCCAATAATCCGTTGTCATGGAAACGATCAACAAAACCGTTACGTTACCTGCGAAAATCAAACTACTATAATTACAAATCTGTACCATTCCCGATTGTTACCTGAATAGGTAAGTGGGTCCCATCATTCAATTTCACGGGTCATTTCAAACTGGCACAAATAACAACAGAGTAGCACCTGTACTCGCACATTGTAGCAGCCCCCTGCGCTGAATCCTTTCTTTGTTATAACATAAATCCTCAGCACCTGTGCCTAATATCGTTCCAACAACGGATAACATCTGGCGCCATATCCAGTCGTGACCTGTGTAACGTTCACACCTGCAGACAACAGGACTAACGTGTTATGATATTAAAACTTACTTTGCCAATATTCTGTACGAAGTCACACCTTCCTCTAAGCATGGTTCATGTCTAAATCCTAGCAAAACAATACGCTTCAAAATCAATAACATCCCACGATTTCAAACATCTAACTTTCGCTCCGTATAACATGGGTTCCTCGTTGCGACGTGGCCCACTCAAGCCGAGCACTGTCCTATTCCCAACGTGTTTTGCACAACATGAATATCAACGCCTGGATAATAATTTGAAATATAACATCTTAAGTGCGTCCTTCCGTGTGTTTGTAGGGCGCAGAAGGGCGGACAGAACCTGATTGCGTTGCTACTACATCCGTGGAACTTACCGGTATGATCCGTCCTATCTTCTTATTGTCCCTTTTCACTTGTTTAAATTTCCACAAGCACCCACTCCTCATTTAATATTGATGGCACGAGTGACGCGTTTCAAATTAAACTATCTTTATGGTATGCACATGAATATTCTTTGAAAATAACACATCTGAGCATTTTACTGTAGAATCGTAAAACCAATTAACATCTTTTCATAAAAAAAATTAAACACCTATAAACGCCCGGACAGATCCATGATGATCACAACTTACGGGCGTTGACAAAATTTCGTCGGCATATATTCAATTATATCTGGAATCTTAAACAAGATCTGATACATGCGCGCACTTGTCCGTTTTCTTAAGATTTATATCCACTCCTGTTTCAAGCGTTAATTGGCACGAAATTATCGAGGAGGTTGAGGAGAGGTGAGGAGCCGGAGTGTGACAGTGTCAAACGTCCATTGTGTTCCTTCGCTGTGTGGCATACAACGCAACTTTGACAATTGTACGACAGAGAACCGTGAATTATTTACACCCCAAACGTTAATATTTGCTGTGTTGGAACTGTCGCATTGCCATCATTTCCTGGCAAGTGTCGGCGGCACGACCCCGTGGGGAAATTTACTGCATTCGTCCGTACTACGTATACGTCATCAGTGATTCCAGGGAGCAGGGAGCGACAGGGCCTCCAACGGTAAACTATGTGATACGGGTTCTGGCTAATTGTATGAAACAATTGGTTCAATTGGAGGTAGGGTATATTCTCGACTCCGGTCGGGCTGTCACATCCTCGGGGTTCATATCACAATAGGATGGACTTTATTTCACCAATAAATCCATTGTTTTGCCGGGTTATTTACCAATTATACTATTCTTGTGATACCATCTGCCGAAATTGATCCTCGACGTTGCAGCTTAATGAATTTTCCAATAATCATTTATTCTCTTGGTACCATTTTCAACTTAATATATTATTGTCCGAATATTCTAACGCCCGGACAGATCCATACACACACAAACACGAACACTGTGTAACAGGAGCATGACCCCGTGGCAAATTTAAATGCTGATTCCATTTGAATGCTTTTGATGCAGTGCACTGACATGTAAACTAGAGTAGACGATATCAGAATCAGCCGAGTATGCCCGCGATATGAATGTGGAGTGCTTTTACCATGTTATATAGGATGTTTATGAATCCCCATGATAGGACATTGGAGAGGCGTCGTTTTCCAGGAGAGATGTTTATATATATATTTATATCTATAAAAAATAGAACAAAAGACAGAGATAGCGTCTCTAGGCCTTTCTCGGGTTGATTCCCCGTTCATCAGGAGACTGTTATTTATATTTATATATATATAATATATATATACGCAAGCTTGAGAAAACCATGATTGTAATATCTGTCTATCCTTCTTAATATCGAACGAAATATCTGGGAAGAGTTAGCACTTCACTGCATTCCATTGCGGTTATTGTCGTAGTGTTTTTCTCCATACAGATTTAACGATCATACCATACATTGTAAAGTAGATTTAAAAGAAGAACAAAATTATATTGTTGTGTGTCACACAAGCATACAGCAGCGACTCCATACAGGATGTAGGAGTAATCCCAGGGCCTCGCCATTGATTTATGGATTGTATATTACCATGCTATAATATGGTGAAGGGGAGAATGTTTTGATACATAATTTCATCACGTTATTTGTATATTATAGGTGTTGTGCAGAGCGCGGGTGATGGATATGTTACGACCCTGTAGGAAAGCTATTTTGGTCGTCAATCTGACTTCTTGATAGTGAGGAAGTACATGTACGTTTCATTGAGATTGTATATGACCATTTTAAAATTTGTTTCTCGTGATATTGTGGACATCTAGAAATAGAATAAGAATATAGCGTATGCAGTTTTAATCTTTAAATACACAAAAGTATAAAGATGGTTTAAGTAACAAAACTCCCTTAATTCTAACTTTCCAGCAAATGGACAACAAATGTCGTCCATACGGAAAACAGTATATATAAGATAACACAATTGTCCCTCACTGTCCCAATTTTGAGGAGAAGAAACCACAAAAAGTAAAATGAACGTAACCTTAATTCACTTCTAACTTTTGCCCTTGACAAAGGCATGGAGTCCGAAATATTGGAACAGTGAATGACAATTGTGTTCTCTAGTATTAACCGTTTTAAGATTCAAACTTTCACCGAATTCAAACAATCTGAACATTATATCCCCCATCTGTTGACGGTCTGATCACAGAAGCCCAATCTATGGGCGGTCTATGACAAAAGCCCAATCTATGGGCGGTCTGACCATAGAAGCCCAATCTATGGGCGGTCTGACAACTAAAGCCAAATATATGGGCGGTCTGACAACTAAAGCCCAATCTATGGAGGGTCTATCACAAAATCCCAATGTACGGGTGGTCTGATCATAAAGTCAAATCTTTGGGCGGTCTGACCACTAAAGCCCAATTGGTGGGCGGTCTGATAACAGAAGCCCAATCTATGGGCGATCTGATCACAAAAGCCTAATCTACAGGCGGTCTGACAACTAACGCCCAATCTATGGGCGGTCTGATCACTAAAGCCGTATCTATGGGCGGTCTGATCACTAAAGCCTAATCTACGGGCGGTCTGATCACTTAAGTCCACTCTATGGACGGTCTGATCACTAAAACCCAATCTATGGATGGTCTGATTACTAAAGCCCAATATATGGGCGGTCTGATCACTAAAGAACAATATATGGGCGGTCTGATCACTAAAGCCTAATCTACAGGCGGTCTGATCATTATTGCCTAATCTTTGTGCGATCTGATCACTAGATATATAGTCTCCATCTATGGGCAGTGTGATAACTAAAAAAAAACCATACATTTGGGCGGTCTGATCATTTGTAGACGGTGTCAATATTATTGCTCTAACCGTCATGCACATATTTAGACGTTTAATCACAATTGCCATACCACTATTCCATCGACTCTTTGATCACCATTGTCTCCCCATCTGGGGATTCTCTGATCACATTTACATCACCCTCATACATATCGTTTCCCATCACCTTGTCTTATTTTCTCATATCCTGATCGAATTATCGCTAGTGATCACTAAATGATTAGTGAACTGATACATATTCGTTTACTCTTCATCTGTCGACGGTTCGATCACTGTTGCCCTGCTTTTCATATGTTTGCGCTTTCATCACCATTGCCCAGCCCCCTTTTGTGACGCTTTGCTCAATATTTTCTTCTCAAATTTGCCTCGGTTTGATCACAATGGCCCAACTTCTCACCTGTGTTACACATTTATCACTTTTGATCTTTCTCATATGTTTGACGCCATCATCACTATTGCCCAACCCCCATGTTTGACGCTCTCATCACTATTGCCCAACCCCGATGTTTGACGCTCTCATCACTATTGCCCAACACTGAGGTTTGACGCTCTCATCACTATTGTCCAACCCCGATGTTTGACGCTCTCATCGATATTGCCCAACCCCAAAGTTTGACGCTCTCATCACTATTGCCCAGCCCCGATGTTTGACGCTCTCATTGATATTGCCCGACCCCAATGTTTGACGCTCTCATTACTATTGCGCAACCCCAATGTTTGACGATCTCATTACTATTAATCAATGGGCAATGGTGATGAAAGCGTCAAACAAGCGTTTGACGCTCTCATCACTATTGCCCAACCCCATTGTTGGACGCTCTCATTACTTTTGTTCAACCCCGATGTTTGACGCTCTCATCGCTATTGCCCAACCCCGATGTTTGAAGATCTCATTACCATTGCCCAACCCCGATGTTTGACGCTCTCAAAGCTATTGCCCAACCCCCATGTTTGACGCTCTCATCGCTATTGCCCAGCCCCCATGTTTGACGCTCTCATTACTATTGCCCAACCCCAATGTTTGACGCTCTCATCACTATTGCCCGAGCCCCATGTTTGACGCTTTCATCACTATTGCCCAACCCCCATGTTTGACGCTCTCATTACTATTGCCCAACCCCGATGTTTGACGCTCTCATCGCTATTGCCCAACCCCAATGTTTGACACTCTCATTACTATTGCCCAACCCCGATGTTTGACGCTCTCATTGCTATTGCCCAACCCCGATGTTTGACGCTCTCATTACTATTACTCGACCCCAATGTTTTACGATCTCATCACTATTGCTCGACCCCAATCTTTGACGCTCTCATCACTATTGCCTAACCCCAATGTTTGACGATCTTATCACTATTGCCCAACCCCCATGTTTGACGCTCTCATCACTATTGCCCAACCCCGATGTTTGACGATCTCATTACCATTGCCCAACCCCGATGTTTGACGATCTCATTACCATTGCCCAACCCCGATGTTTGACGATCTCATTACTATTGCCCAACCCCTATGTTTGACGCTCTCATTACTATTGCCCAACCCCAATGTTTGACACTCTCATTCCTATTGCCCAACCCCGATGTTTGACGCCCTCATCGCTATTGCCCAACCCCAATGTTTGACACTCTCATTCCTATTGCCCAACCCCGATGTTTGATGCTCTCATCGCTATTGCCCAACCCCAATGTTTGACGCTCTCATCACTATTGCCCGATCCCCATGTTTGACGTTTCATCACTATTGCCCAACCCCCATGTTTGACGCTCTCATTACTATTGCCCAACCCCAATGTTGGACGCTCTCATCACTATTGCCAAACCCCCATGTATGACGCTTTGACGCTTTGACGGTAAATAACAATTTGATGAGTGTCCGGAGTTTTACCTGACTAGTGCCTGACACACAGAGCTTATATGCGATACCGTTTGACCGTAATGAATAGTATTTGTTATTTGCATTCGTTTGCCAATAGCTCCTATTCACCTGGATTTTCACCCCCCCCCCCCCCCNNNNCCCCCGGCCTTACCCGACGAGTTACGTAAGTGCCCCAGGCGGGTAGAAAACTACGGTCCAGGTACATGTACAAAGTGGTTATGTTTACCTGTATACGGGATTGTGTTGTAATTTTACATATGTCGATTAAGTTTGTTTAAAAACACAGAAAACACAATTTCTAAATATAAGAATGTATAGACAGAAAGATAAGTTTATAGATGGTGCTAGAATATAGAAACATACGGAAACATCAAGTTCATATGTTTAAACACGAAACCGTAAAAATTGGTAAGGCATTCCTCAATTTACACCAACCACAATTGTTATCGCACAACGTCCGTCCATCGTGCGCAAGTAATGATCGTCCAGCTTTTTATCGTACGCCCATCGTGCACACACCGTTCACACACCGTGCCCACTTCGTGCGCACACCGCACATCGTGTAACGTTGTGCGATCCCACAACTGTACCTTCATCTTTTAACTGTCTTATTATTAAAACTTAGCCTCCTAACCGTCGCGAGTTGAAGAAAAGGTGAATGTTTACTAAAATAGAAAGTATGCATTGCAGGTCACGTGTTCAATGCTTGTCCGAGTCGCATGTTTCATCCCAATCGTCCGGACAAGATGTGCTAGCGTTAAACAATCCATAAAACTACACATCAATTATGATACATTAAC